GGACGGCCGTGCCTGGCGGGAGGGTCTGCGCTGCCGGGGGACTGAGTCGCTGCTCCTGGAGTGCCAGCAGAGAGAGATGGGTCCGGGGCTGTGCAGGCACGGCTCAACAGCTGGCGTGGTGTGCACAGAGCCAAAGGGTGAGCACCAGGATCCTCCGTCGTGTCTGCGCCAGGTGGGGGGAAAAGGTCCCAAGGTTAGAAGAAAGTGGAAAGGTGGTGCAGGTTCATCCCAGCAAGCTCTTGAGGGTCCTTCTTCGGGGGGGATGCACCTTATTTTCTGTCACCTTTGGGAGCATCAGAGACTCCTTCCCCACCCAAAACACATTTATCCCTCTCATTTCTTCTTGGAGCCCAAATTTCCTTGTCCCCACCACAAACCCTCTGGGCTCCCTCCAGGACCAGCCCCCATTTCTCAGATAGGTTGTGGTAGAGCTGGGACAACTCTGAAAGATGGAGGAGGGTCAGAAATAGACCTGTGTGAGATGTAGCACCCCAAATCTGAAGTGGAACAACACACCAGAGAGCTGGTGGAGGTTGTAAGAGCAGCAAGAACACGGAAGGTCACTCTGACCCCCCACCCCATCATCCACCCAGGGAAATGGGTCTTACTGCCAAGCTTAATTACGGAAAGCCCATCTCTGCCACCAGCTGAGCTGCTGGGCAGGCGCAGGTCAGGCTGTGGTTGGTGTTAGGTCTTGGCTGGAGATGGGATCCTGAGCCCGCTCTCTCCCCAACCCCAGGTGCTTCACCATCCTGCTCGGTGCTGATAGCGCTGCTGGCCCTGGTGATGCTGCTGAGCGGGGCCCTGCTGTGGCTTAACCTGAAGAGGAGATGCATGGCAGCAGCCCAGGCTGGAGGTGACAATCCCACCCCTGTGTGTTGTCCCCTCACCAACGCACAGTCCCCACTCCAGCCACCCTGAAACCCGGGGGGATGCGGACACAGGCATCAGCTCAGCAGCTGCCAGAGCCTGGTGCCAGCCCGGTGTCCCCTCCATCTCACAGCCCACCGGCACCCTGGGGACCAGAGCACTGCAGCAACATCCTTCCAGCCCGTGGGATCCATCTACCTCCCCACCAAGGCAGAAGTCTTTGAGGATGCTGACACTGAGACAACGCAGCTCATGAAGGAAGATACTGCCCCATGATGCCAGCCCCACCAAGCCCACGCCACGGGGGTTGCACCAGGCTCCCGCTGCCCCCACATTTCCCTAATCTGCTTTCCCACAGGCTGCAAAGCAGCAGCTGATGGGCAGGACATTTGGAAAACAGCCGGTACCGATGATGTATCAGGAGCCCCAAAATAGCCGGCCAAGGCAGGGTCTCCCAGTCTGGTGATGTTTATTTAACCCACCTCGGCACCATCCGGGCAGCCCCTGTGGCTCCGGAGGAGCCTGATGAACCTGGCGGCCGGCACAAGGCTGAGCTAACGGAGCAGAAGAAGGGGCGCAAATGATTAAAAGGGGATCCCCAACCCTCCAGGCATGATGGGTGTGAGTGCTGGGGGTGGGACATGAGCTGCTTTTGTGCTCCTCTGCCACGGCTTCCCCAGACCTTGGAGGCAAGTCCCCTCATTTCTTGACCATCCCAGGTGCCAGAGCTGCAATGCACTTCACCCCACAACCCCAAATCCTCAGCCGTCCTCTCTGGATGCGTTTTGGGGCGGCCACAGAGCCCCATTTTCCTTGTCCTATGCTGCCAGCCTGCGACCATCCCTTGGGGACCCAACCGCAGGGAACCTCCCTGCTGAGGTCCATGGGGGCACAAGACGTGCTCTTGCCTGGTACCTTGTGGTTCTCCACTGGCACCCCATGCCTAAAAGCATCCCAGTGCAGAGGGACCCCGCTCTCAGTCTCACCTCAGGGTCCGTCAGGTTCTCAAACTGAGGGCTGTGCCCCCAAAACACCCGGGATGATGGGAGGCCAGGAGACCCAACGAGCAGAGGTCCCAACAGCAGGAGATGGCATCTGCCAAGACCACTTGCCAGAAGGAAACACAGGTACATTGTGCCTGGTCCTCTCTCCATTTTCCCCAGAGATGAAGGACATCCCAAAACCGGGAAAGGTGCAGAACCAAAGGTTTACCCACATTTGTCCTTTATCCTGTGACGCTTCAGAAGGGCTGGAGAGCAGGGTCCCCAAATTAGGAACACAATCAGTCAGGGTTGCTTGGGGTCCATCACATTCAGAAATAAAATGAAAGCCCTCCATGCAAGCCCCCATGCTTCTTATCCTAGGTGAATCTGTCCCCTACAGCCTGCCAGGGAAGCTCCAGGAGCTCACCAGGTGCTGGAAGAAACATCTCAAGATGGACTGGAAAAGCTGGGCAGTGCCAGCATGAGATCGCCCCCCCAGGCCATGGCTGAGAGGGGAGCAGGTGGTCTGCAGGACATTCAAGCAGCACAAAACCTGAAATAATTTCCTCCAGCAGTGAGGCCATCCCTTTCCTTGCCAACTACCAAGCTGGTGTAGGCCATAAGGCTTGGTGACCTTATCCATTGCCTGGTGACCATGCAACACATGATCCCAGCACATGAGAAAAGCCTTAATTCCAAGATGGGTATCTCTGGGAGCAGCCACCCTTGGGCTTGAACCACGAGATGGTCCTCTCCTCCCTTCTGAAATGCAGCAGATCAGGATGGTAAACCTGCCTTTGGCCTCCAGGATGCCCACAGGGCAGGATGCCCATCAAAGGTTGTCCAACCACAAGAGCACACAGAGTCTAGCGACCACCTCCCTAGTGCCACCTGAGATGCCCTCAATCACCCCAGATACTCATGGGGGGCTGGCATATAGGACATAGGGACTATAAGAGATGCAAGCTCTCCTGGAAGAGGAGCTGAAGGCCACCTGGGTACCCCAGATCATCTCTGATGGCCTTGGGAGTTGAATGCAACCCCAGATCTCCATCAACCATTTGGAGTGCTTGATTCAGCTGCTCCTACTGAGCCAATACGCATCACTGCAGGTGCCTTCAGGTGTGCGAGACACCTGCAGAGGCAAAAAAGTGACATGGAAGAGACCTGGAATGACATAAATGACACTACAAAGGCAGCCACCTCCTGCTACCAGTGCAATCAGGTGTCCTCCAGATCCCACATCCTCAAGCTTTTCCTTTTTTACGAGATTTCCCCGCCTCTACTCAGGACCACGAGTTAAAGGAACGGGTGAGTTTGGGTGGGATATGGCCTAAGGGGAGTTGCCTCTGCTCTGTAGTTGGGGTGAAGGGGCCCCCGCTGCTACAACATGCATCATGCAGGTGCTTCATGGTCAATATGACACCTCCAGTGTCTCACCAAGCCTTAAAGGATGAAGGACCACACAGGCAGTCTGTTTCCAGAGCTGCAGGTACAAACCCCTCTCCCTGCCACCATGCAGACACAGCAGATCCCACAATGGGAACCTATTGAGATGTGTCCACCACCAGCTGGACGTTCAGGGACTGGGTCAACCCTGAAATCAAACTCGCAGCCAGGAACAGCCTTACAAAGAGGCCAGAGCTACCCCACTGCTGTCTCAAGGGCTGAAGTGAGAGGAAGTTGGGAAGCTGTGGGGCAGAATCCCAAACGCATCTGGCTGGCCCATCTTGCACCCAACTTCTGCAGGGTACAGGCTTGGCAGTATTGTGTGAGATCCACCTCACACCCAGGATTTGGTGGGTCTCTCCTTATGATGTCTGCCAGCAACACATGCCAGGTGACCTCTCGCCCATGTCTGAAGGATGCTGGGAGAAAGTACTGGGTGGGAAGGTATCGGGAAGGAGGTGAGACCACCAAGGACTATACCAGCACGAAAAGCCCGTGTCAAGACCCAGCTGGACACAGCCATGAGGTAGAGGAGGCAATGAGACAGAGCTGTTGTCAAATAACCATCCTGTAATTAGTGTGCAGAGCGCGGAGGAGCATGCACATCCCACCCCCCAGTTCCCAGCGCTACACGGACCATACGAAAAGGGGGACAGGGTGGGACCCGGGATCTTCAGGAGTCCAAGAGAAAGCACAAGGGCACCAGTATGGGCAAGGACTTGGTTCCTGTCTCGCCCTCACAAGCAAAGGTCCGTGTGCCACCCTCTGCCCAGCAGCCATCAGCCGAGGGGGGACAAATCCAGGCTCCGGCAGCAGCGCAGGGGTAGCTCTGGGAAGCGAGAGGGGGATGATGATGATGCACGGTGCTGGTCATGTCTCACTTGCCCATACCTGATCCAGGTTCCTGCCTGGAAAGTCCCAGGAGCAGCTGGAGGACTTACAGCTCTGGGTGTCGCTTGCTGAGGCTCCCAAAGTGGATGGCAGCAGCATGTCCCCCCCCTCTCTTCTGCTCCCTACCAGCCTCACCAGCACCCTGGGGCAGAAAAAAAGGGGATGATTAACCAGGTCATTAGCAGCAGCATGAGATATGGACGGGACACTTGAACCCCAAAAGACTTCAGGGGGAGAGGGAGGTGCCTGCTCCTCTCTTCCCCGTAATCCTTTCCGCTGCCCGTACCATCGTCGTATCTCCCTCCCAAAAAACAGGCAAGTTTGTCCCCTCCTGCAGGCAACAGCACGCCCCGACTCCCCGGGAGCCCCCAGCCCAGGCTGAGCCACGCTCTCTGGGATGACTGGGGAGGGGGTCTTGGGATGACTCAAGGAGGGGGGGGGTATCTCAGCCCTCCTCCCCGCACGAGGGCAAAGAAGAGGACTCCTG